AAACAACAATAATATATTTTTCAGAAGACGAATCAAAAGAATATCTTCTATAATCTTTACAACAGAATATTCATACATGTATTTGAAATGGCATGCGAATCAATGTAGGCAAAGCTATGTCCCCTTCAATTTCTCCATTACCGGAAAAATCTCACCTGGAAACTTTGAAAATTGCGTAACATCGACAGAAGTGTTAGAATGCTCTGATTTTTTTGTGTGAATATTAAGTATACGTGTTTAGAACTTTCTGTCGAGTTTCACATCGAAAAGCTGGTTGGTGCGAAACTGCAACATTTTCGGATAACTCAATAGAGGCCGCCATTTGCAATCACCATCCTTTTACACCAAATGTTACGAGATTCCTTAGTGTAGTGGCGTATGGTTTGCGAAGGTTGGTTATTAATTTCTAATGACGAGAATATGGGATTGTTAAAGCAACGGAAAAAAGGTGTGAATAATCTGCCGTTGCTTAAGGAACATGCATTATATAGAGCTTTGATAGAAGTTGACTGGTTTTTTCAAAACAATTTAATTAGTAAGCTATATTATTACCATCATCATTGAACATTGTCATCGATATCCAAATCTTATGTGATTGGTAGGGGGGGGGGGGGGGGGGATATAAGATAACCCAGAATTTGGAAGGGGGAAACCAATCCCTGAATAAAAATACACGATGTCTGCGTTTAAAATGTGGATCTTCTGCTTTCAGTTAGGGTCTACATTTCAAAATCTAACTGACTGGTCGCTGGCTGAATTGAATAAGTTATTCACGAGTTGTACCCCTTTGCCGGAAATACCTATTGACTTATAGTGCATTCAGACGACTAAAATTACGGAAGCTTAACTATCGACCGTTCTTCGAGTCTGGTTTATTGTTTTTTGGTGAGCGTTCAGACGAATATAGAAATTAAGCCAGCTTCGACATTAGGCTACCTTGGAAGTTATCGGGAAGTTCAGAGGTCATAATACCATTACGCATGCGCATTATTGTAGCCGAGCTAATATTTGAGAATACCTTTGTAACAATCTGATCACATGGTAGCTGCGTTAGAGTATATTTCTATACCATGTAGTGTACATCAGATCAGATTGTATAAACCTATTGCTTGTCACAAATATACTTTTAATTGAGCACTCTTCACTTCCTATATAATCTTATCCTTCAATTTGACTGGTTTTCTCTGATCTGGTAACCTTATGGTTCACATCAGGGTGAGCACTTTTAGGCTGAACAGCCCAATATTAAGACGTCTTAATCCTAAATCCCTTAATTCCTACTCCTCCCCCATTTTACAGAGAAGTGAGTTAATTTCTGAGTGAAAAAACTTTGTTGAAAATCGGAAAATCGACGCCATTTTTGTTGTTATTGTGAAATCATGGCGGGCAATGGACAAAATCAAAATGCTGTTGTTCCACAAGCTGAAGTATCACAGATAAACGTTCCCAATCCTATTCACAACAAAATCCAGTTTGGCCTTCTACCCGACAAAGTTGACATTTCGGTAGACAAAGGTGAACATTTCAAAACTTGGATAGAAAGTTGGGATATTTTTGCCGATGTCAACAACATAAATGTTCTGCTAATTAACACCCAGGTTTCTTTATTGAAAGCGGCCTTAGCAGACGAATCATTAAAAATTCTTAGGAATTCTCAAAGAAGACAGCCAAACGAGATACTGCGTGCTTTAAAAATTTATGCCCAAGGAAACCTCATTGAAGTTGTAAAAGCATTTCATTTTAACACTCGCGCACAGGCAGTGAATGAAACTTTTGATGATTTTCTTACGGAAGTCAAGGAACTTTTAAAAACTTGCAATTTTCCTGAGGATTTTCACCATCGTCTCATACGTGATAGAATCATCGTAGGTATAAACAGCAGTGATGTTCGTAAACTTCTTCTAGCCAAATCTTCTGGATTAACTCTAACAAAAGCAATCGACATTTACCGTTCACAGGAGACGTCAGCTCAGCAAGTTTCCGAGATCGTAGGATGCAATGGTATTAAATCGTGTCTCGCGCTATCAAAATGCCAAGACAAAAGCGAACCAACAACCTTCCAAGATTAAATGCTTGTAATGATAATACATTTTCTTTTCAAAAAGGTGATATATTGAGAAAGAACTTTAGGTGGAAAGAATTTGCGCGAAATTTGGAAGGCTCATCAGAATCTTTTTGAAAGTTCCAAGAAGGTTTGGACTGTACGGAATATATCAGTAGATAAATCAGGACAATCAGTGCCAAAAAGTAAAATAGAGGTTTTAATGAAAGACGACGGAAGGAGAGAAATGCATCGAAATGTAGTGGGCGATAGATCAAATAATGTTCTAAATTTTCAAATCGATGACTACAAATGCAAGCAGCATGTTCTGAAACATGACAAGAAAACTTATCTCCGTTAAATCACCACAGGCGAGACGGAGTCGACAGTGGATTATCTGGTATTTCCTGGGGCCAAAATAATAATAGTTCGGAATGGTTATATCGGTAGATTTAAGAACATTTTTAAAAGATTTTAATGTTGTTGAGTTTTTGTACATATCAGGTAAATTTTTCCATTCTCTGATTGCTGAAGGGATAAAAGAGTTATAAAATATGTTCTAGAATAATATTGTTCAAGAAGGTTATTGTTTCTAAGGTTATATGAGGATTGTTCTGTTTTGATTAGGTTGCAGAGATAGGGTGGAGTTAAATTGTTGATCATTTTATACATCATAATGAGTTTGTGCCATCTCCGCCTCTCCTGTAGTGTAATGAAACCTGTTTCTTGATATAGTAATCGATGGCTTGTTCCCCTCACATATAGTGCGGAGTGCATCAAGTTGTAATCTTTCTAGCTTGTCTGTTAATTCTGCAGTGCTTCCTTCCCGGATAATGTCACAATAAGCAAAATAAGGAAGAATAAAGGAGGAGTATATTGTTTGAAGAGATTTTCTATTTAATCGATATTTCAAAGATCTAAGACAGTTAATGAGCCTACCAGTTTTCGATTAAGTCGTAGCAATATGTACATTCCACTGACAGTTTGATTGAAAAGTTAACCCCAAGTGCTTATGTACAGAGACGTCTTGAATATGAATTTTGTCAAGGTTTAGTGTCGGTAAGATCGGATTTCGTTTAGTATAGAGTGCGAGTGATTCGGTTTTGAGAGGGGTTAAAGGAAACAAGCCATGTTCTAGCCCAACTGTTGATTTTTTCCAAGTCACGGTTAAGTATTTCTGCGCAAGCAATTGGGTCGTCGATTTTTTAGGTATAAGCTGGTATCAAGTTGATGTTTTTTATAATGTCATTTATATGTATTAGGAAGAGTAAAGGTCCTAGGACAGAGCCCCGTGGAACACCAGCGGGAACAGTTTTAGGCTCAGAGGAAACTCCAGTGACAACAACCGTTTGAACTCGGGTAATCTTGAAACCACTGGAGCAAATTTCCTCTGATGCCTGCAGCCTGGAGCTTATGACAGAGTGCAGCATGCCACAGAACACTGTCCTGGTATACTGCTCTTGATCTATGGCTTGACAAAAGAAGTGATTATGGTCGATTAGTTGATAAATGGTGGACTCGCCGTGTAAAATACCGCTTTGCAGATTAGTAATATTGGATTTTTTTTAGAGGAAGTTAAAGACATGCTTATAAATACATTATAAATACATTTTTCAAATAGTTTGGAAATAATACTGAGAAGAGAGACAGGTCTGTAGTTGCTGCAATTTGAAGGATCGCCCTTTTTTAAAATAGCTGTAACATTTGCTGTTTTCCATAAAATCGGTACTTTAAGTGAAAGAGAGAGGTTGAAAAGAGTGCAGAGAAAATTTCGTTTTTGGTTGATTTTAATAATTTACCATTCACATGATCAGGTCCAGAAGCTAGTATGTCTTTAACTTCCTCGGGAGTAAGGTGCACTTGGCAAAGTGAATTGTGATTTTGTTCTAAGATCGGAAGAGGTGCATTTGAAGTGTTCAGCTGTGATTGTGATATAAAAAAGTTATTCAGACAGTCCGCCTTGTCAGTCGGAGTAACAGCCGGTTTGCCATTGTTGATTAGTGGGGGAATCCCAGCTTTTGGATTACATCTGTTATTCACATATGAACTAACCAGTTGCCACCAATCCTTGTTTCCAAAATTTCCCTTTAAGTTAATTTTGTTGTTGAGTTTATCATAACTTACCAATGTAAGTGTTCCGAATTTTTCTAAAATTATGCCAATCTGATTCAGAATTCGATCTAACAGCTTTCCGATGGATTTTATTTTTTCTTCTGCTCATGTTTCTGATCGTGTTATTCATCCAAGCTTCATCACGGGGTCTTATTGTTACTGTTTTATTGGGTACATTTTTCTTTGCAATGTTTATTAGTTCAGATGTGAATAAAGTTACCGAGTTGTCAATACTTTTATTGTCAACAATGGCATCCCAGTTGGTACTCCCTATGTCTCGTCGTAAGTTGTCATAGTTTGTCTTGTCATAGTCCCAGATGGTGCGTTTAAAAAAAGGATACTTTTGAAGATTTGAAAGATAGACGACAATACACAGGGCAATGATCGCTACATGACGGAGCCAAACAGCCAGATTCAAGACTTGTACAATTTGTTAAGATAAGATCAAGGAGTGTTCTAGGGCCATTGGTATCAATTCGAGTAGGATCAGATATAAGCCGTTTAAAATCATAAAGGTTTATAAAGTCATGGATAAAAGAGGATTTTTTGAAAACAAGTCAATATTAAAATCGCCAAATATGAAAATATGATTAATGTTGGAAGTCGATACAAGTGAGATAAAATAGAATCATTTATTGAATTATCGGAGTGCGGATGTCAATAAGAAATTTGGTATTGTTTAGTAATGTTTCAATCCATATGCCCTCTGTATTGGCCGTTTCTGGACTATATTTCTATATTATCAAATATATTAAAAGTAGATAATATGTACTATTTTCTAAATTATCAAATATATTAAAAGTAATATGGACTATATTTCAATATTATCAAATATATTAAAAGTAATATGGACTATATTTCAATATTATCAAATATATTAAAGGTAAGTAATATGATGTCGCAGCTACACGCCCCTATGCAAGATGGAATCTGGGACTCGCCACGTATTTGGTTCGAAGGATGGAATTACAGATTAGTTTCATACATTTATTACACACATTACATCTAAGAAATACACCACATGAAAGTCGGATAGTCGCGGATATGTGCTAAATACCAATACGGAGGTTGCCAATGCATTCCGCCATTATTAATTAGATCTACACCATTAGTAAAAAAAAAAAAAAAAAAAGGTGTCTAAGGACTAGTGCTAAAGTATCACCGACCAAAATAAATAGCCCTGAAATGACAATAGGTTCTGTTTAACAAATCAATATCTTCGGCGTAAAGTACATCTAAATATTATCCATGAATATTATCCATAGCCCGCGACTAACATTAAATCATATACAAAACATATTAGAATGAGTGACAAACATTATCTCATCTACTTCGACAGTTAGTAGAAGTCACATTAACATACGATCTAAAGAATAAAATATAGTTACCAGTTTGTGGAATAGGACCACAGAAGTTAGCAGCGCACTCCAACTATCTCACATGTAGGTACTGAGCCACTGTAGCCTATTAAAACTTTATACCAGCAGGTATCCAGATCCAACCAATAGAACAATGCACGAGCTTATTAAAAACCAACCACCGAACAAATAATTACACCATGTGATATACAACCTCGTTAGACAGTACAATCAAATGCATTGCTTACTAACCGATATACAATTAAACACAAATTGGTTTATAATTAGACACAAGTCTTTTCTGTGCACATCAACTAAATTTCAAAACTATGATGTAAGTTGATATAATCCCAGAAAACTAAAATAACGAACGTAACATAATTACAACAATTACTAAATTATATAAACCAAATATAGCAAAACCAGAAATAGTTTACCAATATAGATTTTATAACCTATAACCGCATACCAAGCATTAATAATACAGAACGTGTTTAAACAACCTGTAATAAATCGAGGGGGGAATTGACAAGACAATAACCTGTAAAAAGTAAAAATAAAAAAAAATAAAAACCTGTACTCTATGTCACATGGTACAAAACACATACTGTTACCTTGACTATATTTCTATATTATCAAATATATTAAAGGTAAGTAATATGGACTATATTTCAATACAAAAAAAAAAAAAAAAACCTGTACTCTATGTCACATGGTATAAAACACATACTGTTAAATTGACTATATTTCTATATTATCAAATATATTAAAGGTAAGTAATATGGACTATATTTCAATATTATCAAATGTATTAAACGTAAATAATATTGACTATATTTCAATATTATCAAATATATTAAAGGTAAGTAATATTGACTATATTTCAATATTATCAAATGTATTAAACGTAAATAATATTGACTATATTTCAATATTATCAAATATATTAAAGGTAAGTAATATGGACTATATTTCAATATTATCAAATATATTAAAGGTAAGTAATATGGACTATATTTCAATATTAGCAAATATATTAAAGGTAAGTAATATGGACTATATTTCAATATTATCAAATATATTAAAGGTAGGTAATATGGACTTTATTTCAATATTATCAAATATATTAGTATATTCTCATTTTCTTGTGGTGGTCCCACAGTATCTATGCAAATAAACCTTAAATTCGCTGGGAAATGTCAGGAAATCGTGTTTCCGGGTGTCTAATATCAAAATTTTCTTGTGGTGGTCCCCCACTGGCCCCTAGTATCTTAACAAATAAACTTTAAATTCGCTAGAAAATGTCAGGAAATCGCGCTTCTGGGCGCCTAATTCTCAAATTTTCTCAGCGGCATACCACGGACCCTATACAAATAATCTTGAATCTTAAATTCGCTGGGAATTGTCAGGAAATCGCGTTTCAGGGAGTCATATTCTCTAGAATTTTCTAGAAGTCCCCAGATTCAAAAAATCGTTTTTCCAGGTTTCCAGTGGACGACCTCGGCAGCAATAAAGATAGCAATAACTCTTTCGAGAGCACCACTGTAATGCGTAACAATCCACAAAGTTTTCTGGGAGGTGAGGGGGATAGACTACCTAAACTAATGACTTTCTGATATAAAGGGGCATCTACTGGATAAACATGGAGCCCTCCTTAAACCTGGAGGTACTTCGGCATAAAGCCTGTTTTTAGCTGCTATCTGTGCTAAGGTGGGATTTTTTATGTTTCGTAAAAATCGTTTAGAGTACCCACGCTCTTTCAGTTTTGAGAAAACAATCGTTTTCCAGTTTATTTGTTTCTGCTATGGAATCTCCCTTAAAGACTGTGGTATCGAGAAAGTCTTTTTCTTATGCTTTTGTCACTCACGTTTGCGGTTAGTTTGATAGAAGGATGGTGGTTGTTGAGAATTCCCAAAACTGTTCGATAGAATAAGTCCAAACCATAAAAATGTCATCCAAAAAGCGTCCGTAAAAAAGTGGGTCAAATGGACGGAGGGGCAACACCTCACGTTCCCACTCTGCCATGAAAAGGTTTGCGTACGAAGGGGCGAATCGTTTGCCCATTGCTGTCCCTGAAGTTTGTAAATATGTTTTACCATTAAATGTGAAATCGTTTCGACTAAGACAAATCTCTAAAAGCTGTAGAATTGCATCGTCGGGTCTGTTTGGATCTGGGTTTCTATTAAAAGCTTTACGAACTGCCGTTAGACCAGTAGTGTTATCGATATTGGTATACATAGAAGAAACGTCGATAGAAATTACAATAGCATTAGAGGGAAGTCGAAGATTTTTCATTTTATTGACAAAATCGGTTGTGTCTTTAAGGTAGGCGCGATGTTGACATTCTAGAGGTAGTAAGAAATGATCAATGTATTCTGACACTGCATATGACTCACTACCACAGTCAGATATAATCGGGCGGCCTTTAGGGATTTTATTCGAGATAAACCACTCCTTGGTTGGATTCTTATGGATTTTAGGCAAAGTGTACAAATGTCTGAGATAACTAGTTTGACTAAATCGGCAAGAATATTGTTAATCATGTTAGCAGTTTCTTTGGTAGCTGATCACGGTTGTTGAGGCCTAAATGAAGAATAATGGTAGTAGGTGTGGGATCTTGGTCGTATGATTCCAGGGTTGACTGTATGTGATAGATTTGGGCACCGGGGTAAGAATGTATTTCAGTGTCTGAACTGGTTTTGGTAATTCGATTCAGGTTAGATGATCCAATTATTAAGGTAGATTTCTGAAGCTGTTAGCTTCCATAATGATTTGTCCTTGGTTTGGTGATAATACGGTTTGGTAGCGGATATAATGGTCGTCGACGGTGTGATTGGTACTGGTTTGGTAGTTGTTAGAATTGTCGCATTGGGAACGGACTGGGATCTGGTTCGAGGGGGGGAAGGTCTGGATACACGTCTCGACTTGGATGGAGACTGAGGGGTGGTTTGCTGGTGGTTGGCTAGTTCTTGGATCACGTGGTGAAGATTCAGATGGTGTGGAAGGGGAAGACGAGTCTGAAAGTGAAAAGAGAAGGGGAGTGCCCTCTCTACGAGAGCGTTTACCTATGTCTGCTGGACTAGGAGTAGGTGAACTTCGGGCTCGTTTAGGGGTTTGGTTCGGCAACGTAGTGGCTCTAGATGGTGCAGGTGTAGTGTCCATTTCAGTTGGTAGAGATATGGTTACTCTGGTTTTTGTTTCGTTGATTGTTTGGTAGAATTTGGTGATTACAGCTTGAGTGAGACGTTTCCCATAGGAGCGACGGGCCCAGGACAGGGCATGAGAAACGATGCGGTCGACGGCAGGTGATGATAAAGACTTGGTACGAATGGTGGTCAGCTTCTGTGGTTTGGTAATGGTCAGGACCTGCGTAACCTGAGAGAGCCATGTCCGATTGAGGGATCAAATATTCGCGTCAACAGCTGATGTTTTCATTGCTGGACGGATAAAACTATCCAACTCAGAGACTTTGCGTTTGAAGGTAAACGCTGGTTGGCCTTGCTGTTGAAGGGTAAGGATTGCCAAATGATGGAGGCACTGCAAAACTTGGAAGAACACTTTCACAAAGGGTTCTTCCTCCTTATGAGTGGGGACTGGTTGGCGTCGGTGGGCTGGTAGTTGTTTCTGTTGTTGGTCAGGTCGATGGTTACCTCTTGATTGGTTGGTTGGTGGTCGGCGATTGGTAGGTGGTAGAGGTGTTGGTAGATTATTGTTTCTATGTCTGGCTTCTTGCCAGTGGTTGTTGTAGTTGGGAAGCATAATGAAAATAACTTGAGGTTAGAAAGGGAATGTACAGCGGATGTAACAGGAGGAAACTGTATATGCTAGCGTGAAAATGTGGGGATCAAATTATGCAAATAAGTCAAACTGGGTTTGGGGATATATAAAGTAAGATGAAAGTTATGATGGAAAATGCAAAAATATACATTTAAGTGATAAATAACGCTAACAATGATGTGAAAAATTATAACAAGTAAAACAAAAATGAAATGTTTTAGTGGATTGAGTCACCATTTTGACAAAAAAATAGTTTCGGTTGTTTCCGATCTATATATAAAGTAGTGTCTATTTTTAGTAAATGAAATATGTCAGAGCGACAATAACAAAGTATGGCACCCAGTTTGTGAATCTATATTTATTAAATGGTTATTGAATTATTTATATTTTACATATACCACAATATAACAACCAATAGTTATTCATGAAATATTGTTATTTGAGTTGAAACATTTTTTATAATCAAAAGTATTTCGCCTTGCAATTTTTTCAATTACATATAGTGATATGACTGAGTCTAAATCACTACGCTATTGTCAATCAAACTCAATCTTCAGGCAGTTTTTTTCTCTTACCCATTTACCGGGCAAAATAGCAACCTTTATAGACAAATCAATATTCAACTCACGGAAACTAACTAACATTGGCGATAGTTGAGCCGAACGGTTAATGGTTAAGAGCAATTTGTCCGTGTCGAAGTGAAAAGTGAAGGTATCTGGACTTGGGCGATACAAATCATTGTAAAACGAATGTAGTTAGTTTGAGGTATTTTTTGAAAGAATTATGCAATGTTCATACATTTCTTGTACTTCTGAAGACTATTTACATATATTCAAGACTCAACATGGTGCAGCTGTCCCTTTAGCATAAATTGTTTAGTGATCTGAGTCTTCACTCCACTTGATTTGTCAACTCTTCAGAAACTCGACCCTCGAACTTTTTCTATATCATATGTGATATGAATACAACTTCCTGCAGTACAGGAAACGACTATTTTTACACTTCTGCATCTGACGATCTTCATATTTCCCAAAATGTGGCAGAAATGACAATCCTGGCAGAAAATATGCACGCAAAAACGAAAAAAGGGGAAGAGAAGGGGATTTCTAACGATATCACGGAGGAAATTATACAATGATTTAGTGCAGTGCTTCTCAACAGGGGAGGAATTCAAGTCAGTATACAATGCAATCAAAGAGCAGTGTGCAATGCACTGCCACTGATATTGATTTGCTTTAAAATACGTTTATAATATCCTTCAATAAAAGAATTTTTATCTATGAAATCTTTTCTGAGTGGGCATGGAATATACATCATATAATGCAATGAGGATTTCATTACAAAATGTTTTAATAGTAAGTCTACCATCCTGAAAAACTGGTGACTGTTTTATCCTTCTGATTAAAGTTTAGCCAACGACATGCAAATTGACCATATATAATCGCCTTACACTTCATCATTATATCGAATAAGGATTGAATTGTGATCCCAAAATTCAACACCTGAGCTCTTTATGTTATCAATTTGACCATTTTCTGGCTACACCCTGCAAAATAAGATGTCTCCAAAACATTACAGAACACGCCTATCTATTTTCCGGGTTGTGAATTAGAGGATGGTATACAGATGTTTCTAGATATAAAAAGTATGTAGGGCCTAACATTAAAAGATTGACTTTAGACAGAAGCTTATCTATTTCTGGAATAACCCGTCACTATTTTTAGACGCCCATATGGAATATAAATAATGTCGTCACGCATGTCCTTCCGTTGGTCCGTCTGTCCACAATTGCTCGTTGATACTCTAGAAGGTACAATTCTTGATAGATTTTGACGAAACTTGCTAAGATCGTTTGTATTTACCCAAGGATGAACCCTATTGAAAATTCGAAAATTCGAAAAAGATTTAGTTATTTCCCTTGTTCTGAAAAACGCGTTCAAGTTTTAGCTCGTAAACACTCTAGAAGGCACATTTCTTGACAGATTTTGACGAAACTTGAATGTTAGTGATTGTTATCACCTAAGGATGAATCCTATTGAAAATCAGAAGAATCGAAAAATATTTAGTATGAGTTATTGCTCTTGTTCTTAAAAACGTGTTTAATTTTCAGTTCGTAGACACTCAAAAAGGCACAATTTGTGACAGATTTTGACAAAACGTGGTGTGTTTGTTATCACTCAAGGATAAATCCTATTGAAAATCAAAGTTATTGTCCGTGTTTTTGAAAATGCGTTCAATTTTTAATTCTTGGCAGATTTTGACGACATTTGGTGAAATTGTTTATTATCACCCATGGATTGAAAATCAAACAATGTTTTATAGGAGTTATGGACATAGTTATGGCTATGTAATTACTAATTTTGGAAGTAGAAATAGATGAAAAATAGACTTGGTAGACACTCCGTATTTGCTGTCAAGCTATCGACAATAATGATAATGTCGTTCGCTGTGAAGGGTTAAAGGTTTATGCAACGTTTCGACTTGTTTCGCGCGTCGTTCTCGGGCACATAATGATAAGAAGTGATGGCCGAACTACATATACATCAATGCTTATTATTAAGAACACACAAGAGAAAAATTGGTTTATTAGTATATTGCCTAGGCAGTGCCATTACAGCTTACTCTTTATTAAATTCCACCTTCCCCAGTACAGAAATGCACCTGGGTAAGGGGCAAACTGAGATAGGAGCGAACTGGAAAGGGGGCGATATGGAAAAGGGACAATATAGCATGGGGCGATAATAGAAACACCGGTGACTGTAAGTTGTGGCCATTTTATAATTATATTCTTCGTTTCGTCGACAGTGCATTTGTGATTCCATATATATATTATTGTACGTTATCCTATCAGTATAGTCATAGAACTGTAATATAATTATTTTAGTTCCTTGTCAGTAAAAGCATTTTCAGCCTTTTGTCAGTTTTTTCCAGCAAAATGTAAATTGTTCGGGATAGATTTGTCTTTAACACGGTATTTGTTAGTTGTTATATTAATTTGTGCAGGTAAAAAGTGAGTGTCCAGGGCCGTCATTTCTGGTATTGAACGGACCACAATTAATTTCCCCATGTTGAGCCACTGTCATACTATAATAAGACTCTGTGTTGAGCACAAAGGGTTATCTCCCATACAGTCCTTACTTTCTTTTATTGTGTTGTGTTATTATTAGCAGTATATCATTTTGTATTGTCATCTTAGTCATTTGCCATCTTAGTCATTTGTCATCTTAGTGTGACTAATATCGAAACGCGTTTGTTTGCAAGATAAAGAGTTCACATTTCGTCAGACTTTGATATGAATATTCAGAATGAAAGTTTGATAAGATAATTTCTATGTATCTAATAAAACGTGTCAAAATTAGCCTGTTGGTATGATATAAGCTAGCTATTTCCTTTGACCTAAAGAAAATTAGTCAAAATTCGCTAGTTTGCACAAGAGAATTCATGCAATTTAAATGACACTTTGTAAGCTATTATCAGATCACTGATGAGTTTGCAGATAACAATTTATTTTGACTGACTTCAGGAGACTGTGAAAGACTTTTGTAACTAGTGGGAACATTGCAATTTCAACTAGTTGAAAAAAAATGTGACTGGTTTTTTCAATTGCTATGCAAATAAATCAATGTGCTATTCAATTATTAACTATACTATTCGAAGTACGTGTATATTACATATGTTTTTCAGAACATACTTGAATTTTTTCAGCTAACTGTTCAACACAGGACCTTTATAACAGATATGCATTTAATTTATGATTTAAAATGGCGCTAATGTTCTTAAACTACATATCTAGTGAATGTTAAAAGCTTGATTGTTGATTCAAATAAATAAAGGACATCTCATCTGAAGCACCTTTAAAACTAACTTGCCAGAAAGCTGTGCTAAAAAAGTTTTAATTAGTTAGCACAATAATTTATTATACAATTACTTGCATAAGGGTTGAAAAATCTCGACCATGACTGGTGACATCGATTTGCATACATATGGGATGGATAAAACCTTAACCAAGTTTATGATATTTCGATGAACAGATTTAGAGTTGACTTATGAAAAGTGTAAAAAGTTAGCAATACTGAATAGAAGCTCTTGTTTTCTTCCAATTTCTTTGAAACTTGAAGGTATTTCTTACAACTTGGAAATTTACGATGCAAGTTGATTTGAAAGGTAAAGATTATGTCTCAACTGTTAACAGAGCATCCAGCAAGAAGCCCTAAAGCTGCAAAGTAGAAAAAACGCAAAACTCTTCTTCGTTCGCCGTATGTCCTACTTCTGTTGTATGGTATACAACCAGAGGCATTTCACGCACGCAAGGAAAGTTAATACGCGCTTCTGATTGGCTGTGATTGGCGCCAGGGTGTAAAGCTAGCTGACAACTGAAGTTTTTAAGTCAGTGTAGAACAGTATTTCGTGAGGATAACAGGATCGTGGGACATATCCAGA